CGCCATTTTCCCCGCCGCGGCCTCCCTGCAGCCACGCCAAGGACGTCACGGCACCGCCCAGTAACCATTGAGATGCGGAGCCGGCGGGCGAGGCGGCAGCCTAGAGCGGTCCTGGAGAGCGAGAAGAGGCCTTTGGAGAGAGAGCTGGATGTGGTAATGTTGGCCAGCGACCTCTGAAGGAAGGGCGGGGAAGGTTGGGCGGTCTCTGTGGGGACTGGCTAGGGATTTTTTTTACTAGAGGTCTGTTAAGTTTTCGAGGTCTGGCGGATCCAGAGAAGTGAGAGGCGGTGGGAGCGACACCCTGGAAACGTTGGTGGAATCGCGTAAGGTTTCTGCAGGTAGGGGTGTAGTTGCAGCTTAAGGAAGCAGGCTCTTTCATTTTGGTGTTGCCGGATCGCATTGCCGACTCAAAGGAACAGAAAATGTAGGACCGTATTTTTCGCTACTTAAAAGGGAAATTAGAGTTTATCGGGTGCCCTCTTGTGTTAAACATGATTCGTTGACTCCGGAGAATAGTTCAATGCGAAATTATCCGCTTTTAATCGTGAGCCAAGGCCAAAGAGTAATCTGTCCAGGGACAAGTAGCCAAGTGGTAAAACTACTTTTCCTAAAGGCTGCAAGTTCTGTATCAAGTTAAGAGAAGTTACTTTATGAAGGGAAGACTGCAGTGATTTCTGCTTTACTTAGAAATCTTTAGTGGAGCCCTTGTATTTGCAGAATGAGGTCCAAGCATTATAGTGGCCCCCAGCCTAACTTCTCAGCCTCATCTTTCCCTTTTCTCTCTATTACACTGCCCCATTACCATACAGGGATGATTACTTGCCTGCCTATGGAACTGGAGTTTCTCGATTTGCTCTACAATATTCAGTGAGAATTACAGAAAGTGGTCTTAAGGAGTCAGAGCTTCTGTTTTTTAAAAGTAGATGTATATTTTATTGATTATGCCATTAGAGTTGTCACTTTTTTCCTACCCTTTATTCCCCTCCAACTTGCACCCCCCTCCCACCAGCATTCCCTCCCACAATCTCCACTTTAGTTAATGTCCATGGGTCATGTATAAATAAATTCTTTGGCTTCTCCATTTCCCATACTATTCCTAATCTTTCCCTGTTTTGTACCTACCATTTATGCTTCTTATTCCCTGTACGTCCTCGTCCTTCCCACTGGAAACCCTCCATGCGATCTCCATTTCTGTAATTCTGTTTTTGTTCTAGTTGTTTGTTGTTGATAGTTGTGAGTTTATCATTTTACTGTTCATATTTTTTTTAAGATTTTATTTATTTATCTTTAGAGGGGAAGGGAAGGAGAGAAACATCAATGTATGGTTGCCTTTCGTGTGTCCCCTGCTGGGAAGTGGCCTGCAGGGAACCAGCCTGCAACCCAGGCATGTGCCCTGACTGGGAATTGAACCGCAATTGTCTGGTTCACAGTCCCACACTCAATCCAGCGAGCTACACCAGCCAGGGCACTGTTCATATTTTTGATCATCTTCTTTTCTTAGATGAGTCCCTTTAACATTTCATATAATAAGGGCTTGGTGATGATGAACTCCTTAAACTTGACCTTATCTGGGAAGCACTTTATCTGCCCATCTATTCTAAATGGTAGCTTTGCTGGATAAAGTCATCTTGGATGTAGGGCCTTGCCTTTCATGACTTGGAACACTTCTTTCCAGCCCCTTCTTGCCTGCAAGGTTTCTTTTGAGAAATCAGCTCATGGCCGTGTGGGAATTCCTTCATAGGTAACTGTCTCCTCTTCTCTTCCTGCTTTTAAGATTCTCTCTTATCTTTAATTGTGGGCAACTTAATTATGATGTGCCTTGGTGTGTGCCTCCATGGGTGCAATTTCTTTGGGACTTGCTGAGTTTCCTGAACTTCCTGGAAGTCTATTTCCTTTGCTAGATTGGGGAAGTTCTCCATTATTTTTTCAAATAAGCTTTCAATTTCTTGCTCTTCCTCTTTCCCATCTGGTACCCCTGTGACTGAATGTTAGAATGTTTAAAGTTGTTCCAGAGGTTCCTAAGCCTCTCCTCATTTTTTGAACTCTTGTTTCTTTATTCTGTTTTGGTTAAATGTTTATTTCTTCCTTCTCCTCCAAATCGTTAATTTGAGTCCTGGCTTCCTTCCCTTCACTGTTGGTTCCTTATATATTTTTCTTTATTTCACTTTGCATAGCCTTCACTTTTTCCTCCATTTTGTGACCATACTCAACCATTTCTGTGAGCATCCTGATTACCAGTGTTTTAAACTCTGCATCCCATAGACTGTTTGTCATTTTATCACTTAGTTGTATTTTTTCTGGAGCTTTGATCTGTTTTTTCATGTGGGCCATATTTCTTTGTCTCTGCATTTCTATTATGTTGTAAGGGGCAGAGCTGTAGGTATTTGCGAGGGCAGGGCAACCCTCTAGCAAAGAGGGTTGTGTTGTGGTGCTGTAAGTAGGGAGGAGTCATAGAGGGAACAATGCCACTTGCTTGGCTCTTGGCCAGCTTCCTGCCCCTTCCCCTGCTCCCCACAAGCAAATTGGGCCCTTCTGTGTGCTGATTCCTGGGTAGGTAGGTTTGTTTACATTCTAGGACCCTGTGGGTCTCTCCAACAAACTCTCCTGTGTTGCTGGGAGTTTCTCCCACTGCCACAAACCCCATAGGTTTTTACAGCCAGAGATTTTTGAGGCTGTATTTCCCCGTGCTGGAACCTTGGGTTGTGTGGTCTCTCTCACTCCTCAGTAGTTCCTCTTGATTTATCTGCATGCAAATGCGGGACCACCTGATCTGCTGGCTGTTGCTGCCTTGCCTGCCCGGTCTCCAGCTGCTACCTTTCTGGGCATCCTGTCTGCCCCAGCTGCCCCTCTCTGTCCCTTCTACCAGTCTGAATGAAAGTTTCTTCTTTAACTCCTTGGTTGTTGGACTTCCATACAATTTGATTGTTCTGGCAGTACTGGTTTTTTGGTTGTTGGTTGTTTTTTTAAAATTTGTTATTGGCCTTCTTTTGGCTGTGCAAGGAGACAAAGTGTATCTACCTATGCCTCCATATTGGCCAGAAATCAGAGCTTGGGTTTGAATACCCACATCTGTCCTTTACTGACTGGTTAAATCTTAAGGGTTTCTTACCATCAGCAGGACCTACATTTCCTTGTCTATAAAGTAGAAATAGTAATAGTATCTCCTTGAAGGATGGTCATAGGGATCAAGTAAAATAATTTTTATATACTGTTGTTTGGTCACTTTATACTTCCTTCAGTATGTGGTTTCATTTAAAAAAAAATTGTCCCCCTAGATGGCTCAAAAGTGCTGTGAATGAAACCTAAAAAAAAGAGAAAAGTTCTTTGACAACAAAGACCTTTCCCCTGAAACAGAGATCATTAATTCTTTTTCCTTTATAGCACTTTGTAATGTGCATTTTGTAGGTGCTCAGTATGTGGATGGATGGCTCCTCAGGTTGCAAGTCTAGAGAGTGGAGAAAGAATCAGTCTGTCCCATGACAAAAGCAGGGTGGTTTGGTGGTGATTCGGTGATTATGTGTCTTGAAGTTCCTGGTCCACCATTTATGACAGTAATATATACACGTGCCCAACAAAATATTTTACATAGAGCAGGTAATTAATTCATGTTTGTTTTGTTTTTCCTGTGATCTTCACAAGTTATTTGATCTCACTTTTATCATTTTTTAAAGAAACACAAACAAGATTTTTTTATGTGAAGTTGTATATATTTTTATAGATGCCTATATTTTTAAATGAGGAAAATTAGTTCAGAAAGGTCAGATATGATAACTGAGAACAGACTGAGTTTCATATACGACACTGTAGACCAGGAGAGTCCAATCTGTGGTTTGCATGTGGCTTTGGGTGCTGTGAACGTGGCCCAAGACAAAATTGTACATTTACTTAAAATCTTTTTTCTTTTTGCTCACCAGTTTTTGTTAGAGTTTGTGTATTTAGTATGTGGCCCAAGACGACTCTTCTTCTTCCAGGGTGGCCCAGACATGCCAAAAGTTTGGACACTCTGATAGACATTAAGAATGGACGATGTTAATCCATTCACCTGTCAGTTCTCTGAGTTTCTATCTTGCTCACCTTTGTTTCCCCAGGACCTAGATTATACCTGTTTCAATAAATATTCATTGAAGAAATTAATGCAAGCTTCCAGTAACTTCCAACAAATGGTTTAGGGAATGGAAAGCCAGTGTACTGCAAGGAAAAGAACAATAGCATTGCATCAGAAAAAACAATTTAAATTCTACCATTTGCTAATTCTGTGAGTTTGAACTCATAAAACAATTTAGAGGGAGAACTTCCAATCAGAATAATAACATACATAAACATGCTTCGGCTCCTAGCACAACCACAGAAAGAAATCAGACTCTCAGCTGACTTCTCAAACTTTGCTGGAAAGAAGGGACTGGCAAGAAGTATTCAAAGTGATGAAAAGCAAGGACCTACAACCCAGATTACTCTATCCAGCAAAACTATCATTTAGAATGGAAGAGCAGATAAAGTGCTTCTCAGACAAGGTAAAGCTATAGAAATTCATCATCACCAAACCACTATTATGTGAAATGTTAAAGAGACTTATTTAAGAAAGAGAAGAAGATCTCAACTATGAACATTAAAATGGCAACAAATTCACAACAATCAGCAACTGAATCTAAAAAAAACAAAGCAAACAAGATAAGGAACAGAATCATTGATATGGAGATCATTTATCAGGTTATTAGCTGGGAGGGGGAAATGGGAGAATGGGGGAAAATGTGTAGGGATTAAGAAGCATAATTGGTCTGTACAAAATAGAGGGATGTTAAGAATAATATAGGAAATGGAGAAGCCAAAGAACTTATATGCAAAACCCAAGGACATGAACAAATGAGGAGATTGCTGAAGGAAATGGGGGTTCCAGACAGAGGGGGGGAAAAGGGATAGGTTGGGACAACTGTATTGGCATAATTAATAAAGTATATTAAACAACTTTATTAATTTTTACAAAAGATTTTATTCATTTTTAGAGAGAGGGGAAGGAAGGGAAAAAGAAAGGGAAAGAAACATCAGTGCGTGGTTGCCTCTTGTGTGCCCCCTACAGGGGACCTTGCCCGAAACCCAGGCATGTGCTTAGACTGGGAGTTGAATCCACGACCCTTTGGTTCGCAGGCAGGCACTCAGTCCACTGAACAACACCAGCCAGGGCTACTGATCATGTTTTAACTGTGAAATGTAATAGTAGTTATAGTGTTACTGAGAAGATTGAGATAATACAGGTAAAATTTGTAATACAGTGCTTGGCTCCTAGTGGGCTGTTGCTTAATGGTAGCTATTGTTTGTAACCTCTAAAGACCTATTCAGTTAATGGTTTAACAGCTGGAAGGGACAGGAAATATGCACAATTATTATTTTATTTTTTAAAAACATTTTTATTTATTTATTTTTAGAGAGAAGAGAGGGAGGGAGAAAGAGAGGGAGAGAAACATCAATGTGTGGTTGCCTCTCATGTGGCCTCCACTGGGGACCTGGCCTGCATCCCAGGCATGTGCTCTGACTGGGAATTGAACCAGCGACCCCTTGGTTCACAGCCTGCACTCAATCCACTGAGCTACACCAGCCAGGGATATTATTTTAATTTAAGTGTGTAATTTGTGAGGTGACTGCTATAATACCCAACATTTATTTGTGCTTACTATATGCTAACCGTAGTTTGCAAGTTTTTAACATGAAATCAAGTACATTTAAATAATCGCAATGCTAAGAATTAAGTGTTACTATTACTCTCACTTTTATGGAAGAGTAAACTGGATCACTGAAAAGGTAAGAGGTGAAGCTAAACTTGAACTTCAGGTAGACAGCTACAACAAAATCACAGAGGAAGAGTAAGTAATCATGGTTTTGCTAACCTTGAGTAGGTTCTTAATACAGCCTTGTAGTCCTGTTATATTTCCCTGTACCATTCTTAAATTTTAGTGTCCATCAGAATCATCTGAAAGGCTTTGAGTTAAAACTCCAGTACCACAGCTTTTGATTCAGTAAATTCACTGGGAGGGAGCCCCCAAATTTGCATTTCTAACCAGTTCCAAGCAATGTTGATGCAGCTGCTCTAGGGGCTATAGTTTGAGAACCACCAGCCTTAATTCATTCATTTTCCTAGACTATTTCACACTTTCTGCATGATCCAAAAACATCCAATATCTCCTCCGCCTCAACTGAATACTTTACTTCTTATTTTCACTGAGAAAATAAGACAAATTCTATATATTCTCACCATATTTGTGGTGGTACCTGCATTTGTACTTATATTTTCTGTCTTCCCTTCTGTTACTTATGCAGTAGATCCCATCTACCTTGCTTACACAAAGTTATCACTCCACTGTTTCATCAGATCTTTCCACCTACAACAACATACATGCATGGCTTTATTGTTCTGATCTACAAAACAAGAACAAGACTTTTGATCTCCTATCTCCCTCTAGTTCATTTCTCCCCACTTCCTATAGAAACTCTTTAAAAAGTTCATTTATACTTACTGTCTCCAGAATGTCTTTGCTGTTTGGTTACTAACTACTCTGCTATCACCCTGGTCCAACCCACTGTTATCTTTCACCTTTGTTATTGCAGTGGCTTCCTAACTTGTTTCTCTTTTCAGTATCAACACAGTAGCCAAAGTGATCCTTTTAAAAGGAATTGTTGGGACAACTGTAATAGAATAAACAATAAAAAAATAAAATAAAGGAATCAGAGTCATTCACCCAACAAATTTTAAGTGCTCACTATGTGCCAGGCACTGTGCCAGGCCTCGGGGATACAGCAGTGAATTAAAAAAAAAAAAAAAAAAAACTCTCATGGAGCTTACAATCTAGTTATCTGATGCATGTACCGGCCCACTGTGTCTGGCATTATGGACGAGATATGAGACAAATTCACACAGATTACCAAGTCCTGTGGAGGAAAAGGGACAGCACGGCTACTGTCTTAAGGGGAGAGTGCCCCGGACAGAGTGTCCCTTGCACGGACAGGCTTTTATTGGGTTTAATTAGCAGAGGAATATAGGTAAAGTTCATTAATCATTGTCAGGCAGTAAGGATCAAACAGTAGATAGCATACAAAGAACTATGAGGGCCTATTCTCAATTAGGGTCTGTTGGCTAAAGGGCTACAAAACATTGGGAAACAAACTCATTTCCTTCTCAAACCCTTACCATTTAATTGAGAGCATTCTAAACAAAGCAGTTTTCACAGGATTTTACATATTCTTTCTTAGGCCTGATCACCCAGGGAACCTACCCTTTCCAGCACAGGACTGCATCACCCTCTGTCATTGTTTCAGGCTTAAGTCAGGCAGGGGAACTAAGCCAGCCGAGATTAGGAGACTTCTTGCAGACAGAATGAGGACTTGGGCTGTGTCAAGCTGAGGAGTGAGGGCCCCTCACTCCTTTATGCTATAGTCCCCCAAGTACTCCCCTGGGGCCTCCCGGTGATCATGCCTGTCTTAACATCATCCCTCCCTTGAAGAATCTTACTCATCATTGGCTAAACAATCAAGCATTGGGGGCCAGTTATGGATAAAGTACAAAGAGCAGAGGCAGTGACCCTGCCAGGGAGATAAGCTTTGTCTTCTTAGTAGCTTCCGGTCTGAAGGTCGCTCACTCAGCCTTAGGTAAGGGAGGTGGGTTGGAGGAGGGGTTACAGCTTCTAAAACCAGGCAGGGCGGTTCCCAACAGAATACTATAAATTAGTTTGTGTTTCAGACAGAAAAGCCATTACTTCCTACTTTGTGCCTGGGAAATTAGAACCTCTAGTTTGGAGAAATTGAAGCAGCATCTGAGGTTTTGTTAGTTCTAAATTCTGAAAAATTTGGAAAATTAAAGTCAATATGAATTCAAACTGGATGAGGTTGCCATTGTGATTTATCTACATAAGAGAAAGGCAGCCTTAGAAATCAATTACTACTTGGCTGTTTGAAAGAAAGTGGTCTTTATTATTTTTAATTCTAGTGTTGCATTACTCAACTGCATACAGTTACACAGAAATAAGAATGTGCTACTTAAAGGGACACAATAACTTGTATACTACTACTAAAACTTCCATACAGTCCAATGAAATTCCATTCCATATTCAATGTATAGTCTGAATTTTTACTTAAAACTTATTGCCCCGGATAGCGTGGCTCAGTGGATTGAGTGCTGGCCTGCGAATCGAAAAATGCCTAGATTGCAGGCCAAGTCCTGAGTTGGGGGTGTGCAAGAGGCAACAGGTGGATGTCTCTCTCATACATTTTTGTTTTTCTCTCACTCTTTTTCCCTCCCTTCCCCTCTAAAAATAAAATCTTAAAAAAATGCTTACATGCCAGATACTGTATTGCTGTATGAGTCAAAAACTACCATGTTTTGCTATAATGTGCACTTTTTGCCCAAATTTTTGAGGGGATTATACGGGTATGATTACAGACCATGGGTATAATAATCCTGTGTATAACATGCACAAAAATGTGGGTGTTCATTACATGAGTGAATTGTACACAGCAAATACAGTATTTCTAATCTTTTAATAGATAACAAATTTCAAGAGATTCAGCAATTTAAGCAATGCAAGAGGCTGCGGGATGGAGCTGGAACCCTGGGAATAAAGGCTGGGTGACTAGTGAGGTGCCCCTAGGAGCCTTGTTTGCCTCATTTTAGTGCTGACCCTGCCAGGAAATCTTAACCTTATTCTTTAACTCTCTCTCTTATTTTAACTGCAGTGTATCTCAAGCAGTTCAAGTAGTAACACCTTGCCACTTTAATAGGGTCTAACAGTGGAAATTCATTCATATCACACTTGTCACTAATTCTAAATTAACACATCACTTCCTCAAGGACATTCCTGATACCATTTAGGTTACACATAGCCTTATTTTTCCATTGCATTTCATTCTTGCCTTATTAGAGTGCATGATTTATGGGTTAAAACCTGGGACTTTAAAGTCAGACAGATGTTTTGAGATGATACTTAAAGGCCAAATTATTTTGAATAAATTTTCCTTATTTGTAAAAAAGATAATAATGGTACCTACAGCTTGTTTAAGTAATTCATGTATACTGCATTCTGCTTGGAGCAAAGTAGGTACTTAAGTATTTGGTAAAATTTAGGCCCCACTTTAAGAAATGTATTGGAGCCCTGGCTGGTGTAGCTCAGTGGATTGAGTGCGGGCCTGCGAACCAGACAATCGCAGTTCGATTCCCAGTCAGGGCACATGCCTGGGTTGCAGGCCGGTTCCCTGCAGGCCAGTTCCCAGCAGGGGATGCACGAAAGGCAACCATACATTAATGTTGCTCTCCCTTTCTCCTTCCCTTCTCCTCTAAAGATAAATAAAATCTTAAAAAAAATGTATTGGATAGCATCTTATACTAATTTTCAGTTCAGAAACTAGGTAGAAATGCTTGGCCATCCATATATATTTATTTCCCCATGTTTCCAACTTTAATGGTGCAGTTAGTCTACAATGATTATGGTTCCTGAAGTTCACTTCTTAGGAAACAAATATTTTCTCAAGTATATTAGGACTCATTAGGTAGCAAGCAGCAGAAACCTAACTTAAACTGGCTTAGGCAAAGGAGAACTTATTGGAGAGATACAAGATATCACATGAGGTTTGAACAACCAGTAAACCCTAATGGAAATCTATAGCTAGACCTGAGACAATTGGAAGCAGGGATTTGAACAGATCTAGAAATTGGTCTTATTTCTGTAGGTAAGCTTCACTCTCTCCTGGCTTCCTTCACGGAAAAGGACGTGTCCACCAATTTTAAAGCTTTTTATCTGTCTAAGTTTACCACCAGAAAGGAACTAATATAGTCCATCTTAGTTCTTAAGTCCAAAAATCTTGGAAAAGTGTTGTAATGGGTCTATCTTAAAGTTAGTTGCCCATCTCTAAACTTGAATGAAGTGTGTACTTAGGGATAATCAGCTGTGGCCAGGAGAGGTCTGTAAAAAATTAAGCAACTTCTATTTGAATCATGTGGCTGGAGGAAAGAACTATTTCCTAGAAAAGGAAGTACTGTATGTAACACTCACTAAATACAACTTTTTAAAAGGACAAGAAATGAGTTTTATCTCCCCAAACCCATTTTTTCATTATACAGCCAAATCCCATGACATGCTATGGAATTGCTTACCTTTTGTTTAACATTCAGTTAAACAATATACCTTAGTGCCTATGACATGCTTAGCACTGTACCAAATGCTACTTTAATAAGTGAATGACCACTTGAAGTCTAGAAATATTTTCTCAATTTTTGATAAAAGGGTAGTTGTTGACATAGCTAAAAGAACATTTGAGAATGAAAAATGGAGGCACAGACTCAGTTATTAAAATGCTACGATGAAACTGGTTTACTGGGCTCAACAAACCCAGGCAACTCTTTTTACTAAGGTTTTTTTTATAGTAAAAATATATACATTTCCAAAGTTTTGCAGATATTTACTTAATTGGGGAAAGTACAATACTTCAGTTAGTTTGGAAAGACAACCTCTAAGAGCAAGTGAATTCCATTCAGGAAAAGACTAACAATTGTATTTCCAATCTATTTACTTTTTAAGCTATTGAATATTCTTTTAAGTCATCTTTTCTGTGTGTATATATTCAGAGAGCCTTTTTGAAATGACTTAATAATCTTTGATTTCTTCACTCTGTTGACCAACTCTTGAGAATACTGAGGAATCTCCAGATAACCAGTATGTTTTCTCCTTGGAACAAACTTCAGAGCCTCTTCCCAACTACCGTTGTTTTTCAGACATAACAAAATACGTATTACTTGATCTAAGGTGAGATTTTTTGTACCAGTATCCCACTGTAAATATTTATCTAATGGAAAGCATTCTGTTGCCAGATTCAGCCGTTTTGCCTTGGCTAGGGATATGCCTGGCTGTATATTCTTATCAACAAAAGCTCCCACTATATAAATTTTGTCATGCTTGAAAGTAGTCATAACATTGGGAGAGTCTGCAGTTAAATATACAATACTGTCTTTTGGAAATAAATCTATGTGTGACTTTTCTGTTGCTGTTAAAAGCAGTTTGTTCCACTTTTCTCCATAACGTTTAATTAACTCTCTGTGAAGAGGGCCATCTGTTTTAAGATTGCAGAAATGAATATGAAAGGGATCAACATCTCTTCTGTTCTGTCCCTCACTTTCTAAAAGTTGGGAAACAGTATTCTGCACCTCTTTTGGTTTCATGTAATTATCGTAAGTCATGTCAAAAACCAAAGGTTGCCCAAATTGCATGGCCTGGGCACCCTTCCAGCCCATTGCTATGTCCATATTCCTATCCCACAGTCGTAGAAATAGGAAGTTTTGCTGTTTATTTTCCTTGGTTTCTAGTACCTGGTCTTCTTTTGCTTTTTCCTTTGCTGCTGCTTTCAATTCCTTTTTAATTTGCTTAGCTTTTTTCATTTTTTCCTTAGCATACAAATATTTTAAATATTTTTTTTTTGATGATTTAGAAACACATTCCATAATCGTTTTGAGCTCTTCGTCACTGATGTGTTCTGGAACTTCTCTGCCAAGCAATCTCCACATCTCAATTAACTCCCTAGTAGCCTCCAAAGGATCTTCATCCTTGGTACTTAAGACTGTTGAAACACCTTCTTGTACACTAGACTTCATTGTAATTTTCCACGCATCCAATTCCAGCTGTTCAGGTGATGTACTCTCCTCATTAGGACAGGGCACAGGTGGTATTTTGGAAGACATGTATCTCTGCAGAATCGATGAATATAAAACACTTCTCTTCCTGTTAAGGGTAAATGGCACCAAAACTCTAGCAAAAGGTCTTATGAAGGCAATGTTAACACTCATTTTGAAGAAAACAGTCATGAAAGAAAATCCCTATAAAAGAAAAAAAATGTAGCAAGAAGTTATACAAAGATTTTAAAAACCTCTCAATTAACTCAGCAAATACAAATTTGCGAGATGAAAATACAGTCAATTTCTGAAACACAAAAGTGGAATCTTAGTACTTTATATTTGCTGCACCATTAATTTTTCCTAGACTGCTGTGGCTTAGAGCCTCTGATAAATAAAGGTAAAACTTATTTGGGTTGTTATTTTAGACATGAATTTCATTATTGCTTTAGACAAAAGAATATTTTGAAGATCTTTTAAATTTTTTAGATGTAAAATTTTTATTTTATTTTTTATTGTTATTCTATCATAGCTGTCCCAATACTGCTGCTCTCCTCCACCCATTCCCACCACATCTCTGTCCGTGTTGAAGATCCTTTTTAGATTTGCATCTAGGCCCAGAAAAATCAATGTTACTAGATAACAAAGTTATATACCACTGATGTGGCTAAGATCACGGGTGTGCTGTATTTTTCTCTATTCTATACTAAACTAGATACAGGGTGGGGCAAAAGTAGGTTTACATTTGTTCTTATGGAAAAATAAATAATAAATATTAATTCATGAGTAAACTGTTTCGTGTATTCACACTGTAAACCTACTTTTGTCCCACCCTATATAGACCCAAATATGAGATCCTTAGCATAAGCAACAGATGAAGGCAAAGGGCTGAAAAGTTATAGAATATGGCAACTAGTAAAAAAAAGACTTAGTAGTTGCTGTACTGGTTTCCAAAACAGAAATATAGAAAGATCTACTGATTTTAAAACAAAACAAAAATCCAGTTCAGACTTTATTTTGCAGCAAATAATGTTACTGCCCAACAAAATGTCCAAACTTAGGGCACATATATATAAGCTCCACAATTTTATCCTAAAGGTCTGGAGGTCCACAAAACAATGAAGATGCTTAAAGATGTGAACTAATGTCCAATTTGAAGGGAAAACAAAAAGGAATTCAGCCCTGGCTGGTGTGGCTCAGTGGACTAAGTGTTGGCCCCTGAACCAAAGGGTTGCTGGTTTGACTGGAGGGCACATGCTTGGGCTGAGGGCTGAGTACCCAATTGGGGACGTGCGAGAGGCAACCACACATCAATGTTTCTCTCCTTCTTTCTCCCTCCCTTCCTCTCTCTCTAAAGATAAAGAAATAAAATCTCTAAGAAAAAAAATTATTGGAAAAAAAAGGGAATTCAACTTTTTACAAAATGCAACTGAGATGCCTGACGTTTTTTTCTTTCTTTGGCTTCTTTTAATGACTCTGCACCCTCCTGAATCTCCTGCCTCATTGACCTGTGCACCCATGCTCAGATGCTCCATCCCTCCACCCCCTTTAATGGTGCCTCTGAGTTCTGTCATTAGCCCCTTTTTCAATCTAAACATTTTTCCTATGAGGTCGAATTTACCTCAGTAGCTTCAATCACCATGAATCAGAAGACACCTCAAATGCATCAAACTGAAATAATCTCTCTCCCTTTTCTTCACAATCTGCTTCTCCCTCTGCCATTGTTTCAGGGAGAGACACAGCTATCCATTCATTTGCTGAAGCCAGAAACCAGGAGTCATTTGATTACTGTTCTCTCTCACACACACATCATATCTAATCCATTTGAGTTGTATTTACTTTACTTTTTATATATTTCTTAAATTCATTCAATTTTTTTTTTCTTTTCAAAAATTTCTTATTAAATTGCCTTGATGGTGTGGCTCAGTTGGTTGGAGCATCATCCTGTGGCCAAAGGACTGCAGCTTGATTCCCAGTCAGAGCATATACCTGGGTTGCAGGTTTGATCCCCTGGTCCAGGTGCGTATGGGAGGCAACCAAGTGATGTTTCTCTCTCTGAAAGGAATGAAAAAATGTCCTTGGGTGAATATTAAAAAACTTACATTAATTAAATTTTTGAGAAATATTGACATATTGTTCCACTTATTTATGCACTTGTTTTTATTATGTGCCCTGACCAGAGCTCAATCTCACAACCTTAGCATATTGGGATGACCCTTTAACCAACTGACAGTTTCAGCCAAGACCCAACCCCATTTTCTTAATTGTATCTCCTAGCCTCCAGATTTGCAATCCTTTACCTTTAAGCCATTTGGAGCAAGTACAAATCTGATCATTAAAATAAGCCTACAGCTGCCATGTTAAAGTCAAAATTTATTTTAAAAAGTTTACAAAGTTTTTCACAATATCATCCTTTGCTCACCTCTTCAGCTATACCTCTCTAGCAATTCACCTCAAACTTTACATCAACTATTCCTATTAGTTCTTATACCACCCTGTATTTCTCTATCATAGTACATACTTGTAAATATGTATACTTGTAACGCTACATTATAATTGCTTCTTTACTTGTTTGCCATACTAGATGGTAAACTATCAGGACAAAGATTGTGTTTACATTAACACTGAACTCAATGCTTGGCAGTGTATGGCTCTCAAAAACCATTCAAGTATTTTTTTTTTAAGAAAATTTCTATAAGGGTTTATTTGAGCCAAAATGACCACATATACATATGCAGGGAGCAAGATATTAAATGCTCGAGCCCTAGCTGGTGCAGCTCAGTGGATTGAGTGCCCGACTGCGAACCAAAGGGTCACAGGTTCCATACCCAGTCAGGGCACATGCCTGGGTTGTGGGCCAAGTCCTTAGATGGGGGCCTGTGAAAGGCAAACACACACTGATGTTTCTCTCTCTCTCCCTCCCTTCCTAACAATAAAGAAATAAAATCTTTAAAAAACTATACAAAGATATTAAATGCTCAAGTATTTTTCAAGTAAACACATTTTAAAGAAAAAAAAAAACAATTTACTTTAGACTTCCCGGAATATTTAACTTAGACTCGTCAGCCCCAATATGAGAAACTGTGATTTCAGAACAAATGTTGAGTTTTGTCTCTGTAAGTGGTAAATATTTTTAGTATACCATAGAAGTAAAAACCAAAAATATAAGAAAGCAATCAAGGATATCATTTTGAGAAATAATGCTCTTGTTCCAGGTATTGTACTATTCATAGTTTCTGAAATCACTGGGCTTCCACTTTTCATGAGAATATTTGTGTTATGAAATTCATATATGTAGATAAGGTCTTAAATGTTTAATAAAGTGCATTACCCACATACAAATGGGAAAAATATGATGTTTTTAGATCAATATGGTTAATTTCTGTACAATGCCAACCCAACAAGGTACAACTGGGATAGTTTTTCCAAAGTCGACAGCACAGCTAAAGTTTCCAAAAATTCAAATTTTATATAGTATTTATATCGACCAATAGCAGTATGTTATGCATCAGTATGGGCTTTCTTTTAACTGCGGGGCTTCTGAATGCACAAGCTAAGTCTTAGAACGTCTCTCGCTTTCTTCCATTTCAACACATACACTGCGAGACGACAACAAACGCCCATACCAGGACTGCAGAGACTGTGGCTCCAGCCGGATAGGACGTAGGACTCCGCGGTGAGGTGCAGCCCCTCAAAGACCACTGCCAACCTAATCCACAGCACGACTACGCTTTCTTGCGGAAACCGTCGCAGGCCCACGATCCGAGCGTTGACCACAGCCGGAAATCCCGCCCTCTCCGGTCGGCGCGGTCTTATGACGTCACAACTCAGGGGTTTGCATTCTTGTCTGGAAAGCGGCGCTGTGGGGCCGGAGGGTGGATAGCTGCTTGTGCTCCGCTGCAAGCAACTCTATTAACCGAGACGTGCTAAGTAGCTGGGTTTTTTTTGTTGTTGTTCTATTCTCCTGTTTTTTTTCTTTTTCTTGTTCCTCTATTATTTAAAACTCTTTCAAGTCCTCTTCTCTTAATCTACTGCATAGTCCCTTTATAAGCATATACTCACGTAATCCTAAAAATAAGATGTTTTCACAAATTTCACTCAGCTTTGAAATCCTTAATGCTAGGACTTTAATTTACCGATCTTTTTGACCAGTAATCTTTTTATCGACGGTATCTGGTAGAATGCTTTAACTCTGATAGGCAACACTAAAAATCTCTCCCTGCCCTTAGCTCACTTGAAGATCTAATGTAAAAATGAAGTTAAGACACATGCTGTGAATTAGTGGCTTTTAGGGCAAAATCGAGTCTGCATGTGTTTAGTTTAGCTAGCACATTTTCCCCCCACCCAGCCCAACATTTTAAAGTGTTTTAATTTAGTTGTCATGAAAATATAAGGCACACCATCATTTACTGGGGAAAAGACAGCCTTTTCAATGAATGGTTGAAGTTAGACCCTTACCCTAAAACCATATACAAAAATTAACTCAAAATGAATCAAAGACTTCAACATAAGAATGAGGACTATAAAACTCTGAGAAGGAAACATAGGGGGGAAATGTCATGACATTGGATTTGACAATGATTTCTTGGATATGATCTCAAAAGCACAGGCCACAAAAGAAAAAATAGATGTTTTGGGCTTCACCAAAATTAAAGCCTTGTGTACATCAAAGGACACTATTAAGAAACTAAGAAGACAACTACATACTTGAACAACAATTAAAATTTTAAAAAATTAAAAAATTTAAAAAGACAACCACAAATTGCACATCTGATAAGGGATTACTATCTAGATTATGCAAAGAACTACTACAACTCCATAACAAAAGAAAATCAAACAATCAAATTCAAAAGTGGGCAAAGAACTTTAGATTTTATTTATTTTTAGAGAGGGGAAGGGAGGGAGAAAGAGCAGAGAAACATCACTCGGTGGTTGCCTCTCCCACACTGCCCTACTGGGGACCTGGCCTGCAACTCAGGCATGTGTCCTGACTGGGAATCGAACTGGCAACCCTTTTTTACAGGCCAGTGCTCAAGAACTTAAATGGACATTCCTCTAAAGAACATATTGAAATGGCCAATAGCACATGGAAAGATGTTTAACATCACTAATTAACAAGTGCAAATCAAAACTACAGTGAGATATCTCCTTGGACTTACTAATGGTTGTTGTGGATGAAAAGGAGGTTCCGTAATAAAATTCACAAGTGCAATGATGGAAAGTAATCTCACAGGGTGACCTGATTATAAATTCCATATTGGGCTGTGGCTGATGTGGCTCCATAGGTTGAGGGCTGGCCAGCAAAAGGAAAGGTATACATACACACGTGTATACATATATGTATGTATATGTGTATACTTACATTATTTATCCTCACCTGAGGCCATGCTTATTGATTTTTAGAGAGAGGGAGAGAAACATCTATGTAAGGGAGAAACAGCCATCAGTTGCCTCTCGTATGTGCCCCAACTGGGAACTAAATCTACAACCTGAACATGTACCCTGACCAGGAATAGAACTCTCGGCTTTTCAGTTTACAGGACAATTCCAACTGAGACACACCAGCCAGGGCAGGATATTCTTTATAAAATGTAAATCTGATAATAGTCTTCCCTTTAAAACCATCCAATGGCTTTCATTGTCATTAGCATAAACTTGAAAATCTTTTTTTTTGTCATCTTGCCAGATTGACCGATGTCTTCTTTTTTTAAAATCTATTTTATTGATTATGCCATTACAGTTGTCCTATTCCCCCCTTCATTCTCCTCCACCCTGCACACCCTCTCCCCCACCATTCTCCCCTTTAGTTTATGTCCATGTGTCACAAGTTCTTTAGATTCTATATTTCCCATACTATTCTTGCCCTCCCCCCTGTCTATTTTCTCCCCACCATCTATGCTACTTATTCTCTTTTCCTTCTTCCCCCTCTCTCCTCCTCCCACTCCTCTGTTGCTAACCCTCCATGTGATCTTCATTTGTATGGTTCTGCTCCTGATCTAGCTGTCCTCTTAGTTTGCTTTTGTTTTAGGTGTGGTTGTTAATAACTATGAGTTTGCTGTCCTTTCACTGCTCATTTTTTAATTTTTTATCTTCTTTTTCTTAGATAAGTCCCTTTAACATTTCATATAATAAGGGCTTGGTGATCAAGAACTCCTTGAACTTGACCATATCTGAGAAGCACTATACCTGCCCTTCCGTTCTAAATGAAAGCTTTGCTGGATAGATCAAACTTGGATGTAGGTCTTTAGATTTTATGACTTGGAATACTTCTTTCCAGCCCCTTCTTGCCTGTAAGGTCTCTTTTGAGAAATCTGCTGACAGTCTGATGGGAACTCCTTTGTAGGTGACTGTCCCCTTATCTCTTGCTGCTTCTAGGATTCTCTTCTTCATTTGAATCTTGGCTAATGTAATTATAATGTGCCTTGGTGTGTTCCTTCTTGGGTCCATGTTCTTTGGGACTCTCTGAGCTTCCTGGATTTCCTGAAAGTCTATTTCCTTTGCCAGCTTGAGGAAATTCTTCTTTATTATTTGTTCAAATAAGTTTTCCACTCGTGGCTGTTCCTCTTCCCCTTCTGGTACTCCTATAATTCGGATGTTGGAATGTTTAAAGATGTCCTGGAGGTTCCTAAGCCTGTCCTCATTTTTTTAAATTCTTGTTTCTTTCTTCTTTTCTGTTTGGTCATTTTTTTCCTCTTTCTGATCCACTCGATTTTAGTCCCAGTTTTGTTTTTATCACTATTGGTTCTCTGTACATTTTCCTTCATTTCATTTAGTGTAGCCTTCATTTGTTCCTCTAATTTGTGACCAAAATCAACCAATTCTGTGAGCATCCTGATCACCAGTGTTTTGAACTGTGCATCTGAAAGGTTAGCTATCTCTTGGTCGCTTAGATTTATTGGCTCTGGGGCTTTGAGCTCTTTTTCTGCTTGAGCCATAGTGTTTTGGTCAGGTTGCACCTATTATGTATGAGGGGCGGAGCCTTAGGTGGTCACCAGAGTGGGGCGACCCAGTCGCTGTGTTGTGACGCTGTATGTGGGGGCGGGGTCAGAGAGGGGCAATGGTGTTTGTTCCGAGCTCTCTCTCAGATTTCTATCCCCTCTGTCGCTTCCCACAAGCAAATTGGGCCCTTCTGGTGCTGGTTCCCAGGTGTATGGGCTTGTGCACCCTCCAGGACCCTGTGGGTCTCTCCAATGAGCTCTCTGTGAGCCTGGAAGCTTCTCCTAGCACCTCGACCCTGAAAGTCTTTCCATTTGTTTATTTCAGGCTCAATTCCCATTGCTGGGGCCTTGGCCTGAGCGGTCTGTCTCACTGCTTGCTCCTTTCGCCTGGTTTATCTGCACGTGAATGTGTGACCGTAGTCAGCCAGCCACCTTGTGCCCCCACTGGCTCCGTCCGTTGCCACCCATGCTTGGGATCCTCCAGCTGCTGCCTGCACTCCTGAGCTGCTGGGTCAGTCTGGATGATCTTTCCTGCCCAACCCTGCTCCGCCGCTGACTGTGCCCCTCTTACCAGTCTGGATGAACGGTTCGTTATTGTCGGACTTCCGTATAGTTCAATTTTCTGTGTTTTGGCTGCGTTTTTGTTACTAAAACTTTGTTGTCTTTAAACTTGGTTGTGTGAGGAGGTACAGTGTTTCCACCTACACCTCCATCTTGGCCGGAAGTGAAAGCTGAAAATCTTAATGATGGATAATGCAGCCTTGCATAAGCTTCCTCTGCCTTTTTCTCTAACTTAATTTTCCAGCTACTAATAAAGAACTTCTTAACCATATCTGAGTCTGGCTCCTCTGAGCTTTCCTCTCAACTAGGCTCTAGTGTCCTTAGTTTTAGGACACCAAAACTAGCCTAGACAGAGTCTAGGCTCTAGACTCTGTCCTTAGTTTTAGCAAGAATTCTGCTGAGTAAGTTCAGTGAAAATCTCTCATCCTTGATATTGAATTATGCTTTATATGTGGTAAAATACTTTATCCTCCACTCTTAGTATCTTAGCACCCTGGCTTTTCTTCAGCAAGAATCTCTCTTACCCCCTGATGCTGTTATTCAGTAATTTTCCATTCAGCGACCCTTATCCTGCTCATTGGCTACAAATCCCCTCCACTCATCCTTGTGTTTTAGAGTTTATCCCAATCTCTATGCCCTACTTCAAAACCCCCACTGCAGTAATGCCTCTTGAATGTAGTCGTCTCTATTGTTAATAAATATTACTGCATAATGTTTTCTTGGCACAACTGCCTCCTAAGTTTTTTAGCTTTAGCTGAACTGGGCTGCTTCCTCCTGCCTAACGTTCCTTTCCTAGGATTGTTTTCCCAGCTGACTATCACTGTTCTTCACACTAAGCACCATTTTCTCCAGGAACTATTCTTTTAATGCCAAGGCTTGTTAGGATCATGTTAGATGTTCTTTGGCATCCTTTATTTTTTAACACTCTTCGCATTTGCAATTTGTCGTTCATTGTAAACTCCATAAGGATAAAGGCAATGTTGGCCTTGTTTGTCTGTGTCCCCAAGACCTAGTATTGACCGGCACACGATAGACACTTAAATATTAGCTGAAGGTATGAGCGAACACACACATGACTAAAAATTTTAAACAAAAGAACACGGACATACAAAGAGTGGGCCATGACCAGTGTGGCTCAGTTGGTTGGGCATTGCAGCACAAAGGGAAAGGTTGCTGGTTCGATTCCTGGTCAGGGCACATGCCTGGGTTGTGGGTTTGGTCCCTGCTGGTGGTGCCTGTGAAAGGCGATCTCTCACAGGGATGTTTTTGTCTTTCTCTTTCTCCCTCCCTTTCCCTTTCTCTAAAAATAAATAAATAAAAATAAAAAGCATACAAAGAAAGGAATTTGCTTATGATATTTAATTTTTAGTTCACTTGTAATTTTAATATGGCATTAATCATATGGAATCAAAAATTGACTTAAAATTTAATTTCTATGACTAAAGTTATAGTGTCATTATATTAAACCATAAGAAAAGCCACTTTTCAAAAGAAACATCCTCTAAGTTTACTAATACAATAAAATTTAATGATGGTATGGGCTGACTTTCTGGTTCATCAATAGGCTACAAACGAGAAGATATTCACTTTAGAAAAATTAACAAGTCAAATCTTAATCCAAAATGTAATATTGTATATGAGCTAGAAGTTTTTTCTTCTAGTATCTACCTTAGCAAAGTTTCAGTGGAATGAAAAAAAAATCTTACATGACAAAAAAGTAACTTAAGCACTTCACTTTATTTTTGTGGAGCTTCTAGTTACTTTTGGCACAGGAGAGAAATTAATAGTCGTTTTGGCTTTCAGAGCTCTTTTAAAGTATTTAAAAATTGACTGAAGGCTAGAGGAAAGGGCCAAGTCATGTTTTTCTGTACCAGCAGAAACCATAGGAAACTCTTTTTTCAAAACAGTAGTTGCAGGTTTATCCAGAGGTTTAGGGCTTGTCACCCATTCACGGCAGTGATGCTTTATCCATGCTAACAACTGTACATCGCTTCCTAGCTGATGCCCTACATGATGTTGAGAGTCAATAAGTGCAACAGCATATACTTTGCTCATCACTTCCCACTTTCTGTGAACAAGCAAGTCCATAAAAACCAAGCCTCCATAACCATGTACAATGAAGGCAACATCCTTGCCTTCAGTCTTTGAAATGAAGGAATCCCAAATGTAAGCCATGTGTTCTTCAGGAGTTCTGCTGCATCTTTTTGGAATATACCGGAGAGATAAAAACCTCTCAGTTTGAACCATTTTTAGGGAAGAGGACTCAATATTTTGTGTTAAAAGACCTTTCCATTCTTTTTCCATCTTTAGGTCCACAAAATTGTCATTGGGGTTTAGCACAATTACATCATAATGTGCCTGCAATGCCATTTGAATACATGGGATCTGACTTCCATGTTGTAGCCCATGATGTATTATTGCCTGCTGACTCCACTGACCAGCTCGAAAGACCCCATGGTCTTGAAGAAGAACGAGAAGAGCAGAATGATGATTTGTTAATGCTCTCTCACTCATAAAAAAGAAGCTTCTTGGTTCCTTTTCAGCTTCTGGTGGGATGTATACTTTTTGTAATTTGCACACTTTCTCCAAAAGCTCATAAATGTATTTTTCAAGCAAATGGCTAAGGGCCTGGTAGCGCTTGCAATTCCTCTCAGGGACATTTTTATAATAATTATAGATAAAAGGCCTTTGTGTCTCTAGGTGTCTCAACTCAGCTTTTTCATTGAAGTCATATTTAAGTTCTTCTAGTAAGTCAGATTGTTCAATAAATTTTTGGAAGCTTAGTTCCTGTGTTATTGGTAACCACTGAAAGAGAAAAGAAATAATATGTTACTGGTAGAAAAAATAAAATATTCAGCTTGTTAAATTCTTCTGGTGGGAAATTATGCTAAACTAGTACTTTACAAAGATATTAACCTTTTAGCCTATTGTAAATACTCTAATTCAAAATAATAGCGAGTGATGCAAACCAGTGAGAGACTGAACATACTAAGGGACAATGGCCAGGCCATATATAAAAATAGAATTTTGAAAAAAAAAATAGAACTTTTACCCACAATCTGCAGGAACTTGTCCAGGAACCAACCCCTTAATCTACAACAAACAGCTCAGAAAGCTAGCCTGCTGCAAGTCAGACTTGTAGGAAGTCAGACTGCTACTCTAGTGACCAGGAAGCTAAACAGTAACTTTTGTTACATTTGGCCCCAGATGACCAGGACTTGATTAATAACTGACAGCTTTCCTAATTTTTATCCCTACTTTCAACTTAGGACCCACAGGAGAAAGCCAAGTATGCACCCCTAACCAATCACATAGGATGCCCCACTCCTGCCTATAGCTTCCCCGTGCCAGCAAGCTTCCCTTTCTTCCCGCTATAAAACTTCCCTACTCCTCTGCCTGCCTTTCAGTGTTTGCTAAAGTGCAAGTGAAAGTGTCCGACTCCCTTATTTTGGCAGCTCAGAATAAATAGGTTTTGCTTTTTCTCATTTGGTTGGTCTTTATCTTCACAGTAAGCATTTAATAAATTTTACAAGGGATGGCAGTGTAGGTTAGAATTAATTTATCTAATAATAGATGATATGGTTATTCTGATGTCTGAAAGAAAAAAAAGCAGCTAAGGAATTAATTTAGAGTTATTATGGACAAAGCCTAGGGGGAAAAGAAAAGGCTTTGAAAGGTTAGGGCTTGCTCTAAAGCCAAACAACTATTAAATAAACGATACTGAGAGTGATTAAATAAAATTTATGTTCTTAACAAATACATTAATACTCTCTCTCCCTAACTTCTTAACAATGACACTGCCAATCCACAACGTATTTCTAATCAGTAGCATAAGCTCTTACCTTCCTGCAGTTTATTTTCCACTTAGGAGGTAGAACCATCTTTTTTAACATCTAAATTGGATCTCACACCATTGTTCAAAATTTTCAATTTCCCCTCTCACTTTAGGAATAAAATCCCAGTCCTTACCCGGGCCTCCAAAGTTCTACAGAGCCCTTAGCTCTCTAGTGTCATTTTCTTCCATTCTCTTGCTTACTTACTCATGTAGCTACATCACCTAGCTTGTAGCTCTTTCTCAAGTATCATTTAGCACCCATTTTCTTGCTTACTTCACTTTAGCCACAACTGGCCTCCTTGCCTCCAACTTGTGGAGCAAGCTACTGTTAAATGATATTCTCCTTTTCTATGCTTGCACCTTAGAACACTCTTCCCCAAAATATCCATAGGGTGTCATTTTCTTAAAAGTTTCTGCCTACCTGTTTACTGACTAGAGAAACTTGGAGCATTCTACCTGAAAGGGCAGTTCCCTCTAAGCCTTCCTCCCTCCCTTCTTCCTTTCTTTACTTTTCTTTCTCTCCTTTTTCTTTCATTTTCTCTCTCTCTCTTCCCCTTTCCTTTTCTTTTAGTACTTATTACCAGCTGACATATACTTGTGTATTGTCTGTTTCCCCCCATTAGAATGTAAGCTCCATGAGAACAGGGTCAAAGACTTGGTTTAGTTAACTACTGTTTCTCTAGTTCTTGGAATAGTGCCTGGTGAATAGCTGGCAATTAAATATTATTGTTAGAATTTTATGATTTTTGCTGAGGGCATAAGGAAGTAAACAGAAAAAGTCCTATAGCTGTATATACAGGAGAAAGATGCATGCACAGCTTTAAAAAATTATAAAGACTTTTTCTATAATTCTAAGTTAATAAATGTCAATTTGTGAGTTATTTTTAGAGTGTCCTATGCATCCATATACATATTTGTTTTCTCTTTTGCAAATTAAGTCGGTCTATTAAAATAAAGAAGAGCATCAAACTGTTTTATGTGCTTGGTTTTCCAAAGAATGGATTGGAGTAAGATAGTTTAGCTTCAAGAATAAGATTGTTAGAGCTGCAAGGAATGTTACAGATGATATTCTTAGCTGCTATCTTTGTATTTCATAGAGAAGTGAGGCTTTCTCAGGTAAAGTGACACACCCAAAGAAACTCAGGTAGGTCTAGGAGCCTGAGAGAAGATTAATTTTTACCAGTGATCTTAACAATGCATAGTATTTGACTGTTTATTTCATTCATTCACCAAAATTCAGTGAGGCATTTGTTAGATATTGAGTTTCCTATATTGAGTAATCTAGTCATTTTATGTTTAATGAGGTAAAAAAAAGGATAGTATATAATAATTAATAAGAATTTCAGATTAGCTCCTTCTGGTAATCTGGATTAGGTGGTGGCACAGCTGTAATGTTTTGCTGTAGGTATGGTTATTATTTTTAATTGAGGTAAAATATATTAAAATTTACCATTTTAACCATTTTTAGGTATGCAGTTTAGTGGCATTAGGTACAATCACATTATTGTGCAACCATTATTGCTATCGATCCACAGAACATTTTCATTTCCAAAACTGTAACTTTACACCCATTGGTAATAAATCGTTAGTTCCCCTTACCTCTAATTACATAGTAATACCCTACTACGGTAATTACTGTCTGTTACTATATTAAAAAAAGTAGTTCCTTTTGTGTATCCTATTGCCACTAAGAAGTACAGAATGAAGGATGCCTCTACGATATTTTAAAATATCTAAAATACTTTTCTTAAAAAAGCAATACATATGCGTTAATTAATTTATATAGAAAAACAAAACAAAAAAGCCACCGGAAAACATATTTTAAGAAAACAATTACTGTTTTGCTACAAAAGAAGCACTATTTTTATTTTCCCAACACAGAATGCAATTATGAGGGTTTTTTTAAAAAGAACATAATTATGCTTGTCTACAATTCCATTTAGTAAATGTAGAAAATAGTAGAAAATGATAGCGCTTATAAAGTTGTATATATGGTTGTTCAGAAAAGACCAGTCCCTGCTTTGGCAGTGCATCTACTACAGTTGGAATGAATAGCACAGAGAAGATTGACATGGGCCCTGTGCAAGGATGACACACAAATCTGTAAAGTGTTCCATATTAAAAACACCTAACTAAACAATATCCCTTCTGTGTTGGGAACTGCCCTGTGTGGTTCAGGAGCTGTAACCCTCCCATGGCTAAGGGTAAGTGAGTGACTTTTGGACCATAAGCCGATAAGGAGACAAAGCTTATCTCCCTGGCAGGAGCACTGCCTCTGCTCCTTTTACTTCACCCTGCCTGGCCCCCAATGCTTGATGGGTTAGCCGATGAGTAAGAGTCCTCAAGGGAGGGATGATGTAAGACAGGCATGATCAGAGGGCCCCCAGGGAAGGACTTGGGGGCTACAGAAAAGGGGTGATGGAGGGGTGATGGACCCTTGCCCCTTGGCTTTGACATAGCGTGAGTCCGAATTCTGTCTGCAAGAAGTCTCCTAATCTCTTGGCTGCCTTACATCCCCTGCCTGACTTAAGCCTGAAACAATGCCTTAAGCCCAAAACAATGTCGGTAGTGGGTGCACCCTGTTCTGGAAAGGGCGGGTTCCTACAGCTATCAGGCCTAAGAAAGAATATGAAAAATCCTGTGAAACCTACTTTGTTTAGAATGCTCTCAATTAAATGGTAAGGGTCCAAGCAGGAAGTGAGTTTGTTCCCCAAAGTTTTATGGCCATTTTGCTATCGGATTCTGACTCAAAATAGGCCCACAGAGTCCTTTGTTTGTTATCTATCATTTGATCCTTGCTGCTTCATAATGATTAATGAGCTTTATGTAAACACCATTTATTCCTATGCAAATTGAATCCAATAAAAGCTTGTCAAGGCAAGGGTCTCAGAGCTCCCCTCTTGAGAGGGTGGTTCAGGCGCTTGGAGGCTTGCTCTCCCCTTGAGAGAGAAGTCACGCCATCCCTTTTCCTCCACAGGACTCAGTAGTCCACGTGAATTTATTTTGTCTCATCCATAAAGCCGTGACACTGCAGGCCAGTGTCTGAGTCACTTCTGCCTGCCTACCTCTCACCCAGGAAAGACAAAAGCTGCTAAATTTAATCTACCTGAGGTAAAGGCCTATAGAAAATAGGATATTAAAAATAGAAAGAAGAAATTCAAATGTCACCAAATCTTGGGGGTCCCAAATTTGAGTATGCAGCAGAATCCCCTAGAAATATTTTTAAATTAACAGTTTAATGAACTATTTTAAAGAGAAACAACACGCAGCTGTCACTGAGCAAAAAAGGTAGGGGATCACATATCCATTTATGTTTGTGTGTGGATAGAAAATGTCTCCTTTCTAAAAAGACACACAATAAACCATTAACAGGGGTTGCCTTTGGGTAGAGGAACTGGGACAGAAGGTTCCTGGACTGAGAAGAGTCTCATATTTCATTGTATATTTGTTAGGAGATTGAAGTTTTTTTCATTAAAAAAAAAAAGAGAAAAAGAGAGAGAAGAAACACCCTTGTAACTACCCTAGCCTGGCTTTGCCAACCATCCGTAATGTGCTTTCAGGGGTCCTGTCCCTCCCTCCAAAAGTAACCACTGCTTTCTATTTATGATTTATATCTCCTGAGTATGCATCCCTAGGATCTATAGTAGCTTAGTTTTTTTTAATTTAATTTTTAAACATATTTTGTTTATTTATTTTTAGAGATAAGGAAAGGGAGGAAGAAAGAGGGAGAGAAACATCAGTGTGTGGTTGCCTCTCCCACATCCCCTACTGGGACCTGACCTGCAACACAGGCATGTGCCCTGACTGGTAATCAAACCAGTGACCCTTTGGTTCCCAGAATGGCACTCAACCCACCGAGCCACTCCTCCAGGCAGGGCTTTTAAATTTAATTTTTATGGTTATTTTTTTCCATTACTATTTAGTCCCCTTATATCCCCCTCCCCCAGCAATTAGTAGTTTAGTTTTATACTTAAAAAAAAAATCCTAATATGTCTTCTTGGGAAATCTTACAAACAGATTTTTAGGTCCCATTTCTAGGAGATTCTGATTCAAAAGATCTGAAGTGGAACTTGGAAACAGATAATTAAGAAGATGATGCTCCCAGCCCTGGCTTGGTAGCTCATTTGGTTAGCGCGTTGTCCCCGAGGTTGTGGTTTTTATTTTTAAATAATTTAATTTATTGTTTAGATTTTATTTATCTTTAGAAGGAAAGGGAAAGAGAGAGGGAGAGAAATATCAATGTATGGTTGCTTCTCATGTGTCCCCTGCTGGGAACTGGCCTGCAACCCAGGCATGTGCCTTGACTGGGAATTGAACCGCGATCCTTTGGTTTGCAGACCCGTGCTCAATCCACTGAGCTACACCAGCCAGGGTGAGGTTGTGGTTTTTATCTCTGGCCAGGGCACGTACAAGAAGCAGCTGATGAACGCATAAAGAAGTGGAACAAATCATTGATGTTTCTGTCTCTACTTTGCTCTCTCTTTTTAATTTTATTTATTTATTTTTGCTCTCTCTTTAAAAAACAAAGATTTTATTTACTATTTTTTGAGAGAGGGAAAGGGAGGGAGAAAGAGAGGGAGAGAAACATCAATGTGTAGTTGTTTCTCCTGTGCCCCCTACTGAAGACCTGGCCCTCAACCCAGGCATGTGTCCCAACTGGGAATCAAACCAGTGACCTTTCTGTTCACAGACCTGCACTCAATCCACTGAGCCACAGCAACTAGGATAGTTAATTTTTAATTAAAAATTTTTTATCTTATGTTATAATTTAGTAAAATTGAGAGTTTAGGTAGTCAGCAAATCCAATAAGTAGCTGTCAGAATTACTTGAGAGCATCTTTTAAAAAATTTTATTTATTTATTTTAGAAAGAGAAAGGATGATTGGTTCACTGGAGTGAGTGTTGGTCTGAAAACCAAAAGGTCGCCAGTTTGATTCCCAGTCAGGGCCCATGCCTGGGTTGCAGGCCAGGTCCACATTTGAGGCTGGGAGAGAGGCAACTAATCAATTTATCTCTCACACACTGATGCTTCTTCTCTCCCTCTGTTTCTCTCTCCCTTCCTCTTTTTCTAAAAGTAAATAAATAACATTTAAAAAAAATCAACAAATGTAGAAGTGCTAAAGAAACGCATATTAAGATAGAACTCTTCAAAGAAGTTAGTGGTGTATGTACAAGGTATATTGGGCTCAGTTCCAGGGCCAAATGATTGTTGAGGGATCTTAGGTTAAAGGTTTGTGCATGTACTATTCCTTCTACAGCTTCCTGGATAAAAGATCACCCACCTGCTGTTCAAATACCCTGAGTTACTGCAAGCTTTCATAACTTCTGGGAACAGGCTATTTCATTTTAGGACAGCTGCAATTATTGATTGCCCTAAAAGGGATGTTATCTTTGAAATCAAGCAGCCTATCTGCATCTTTTAATTAATCATGTTGCTTCATTTATCTGTGGAAGAAAAACTTCCTTCATGTAAAAATTCTCAATATTTTAAAGATAAGAATGAACTACTGTGAAAATGAGGTGAATAGCACCATGATACCGTACTCCAAATATCTCTGCAGAATCTGCTTTCCTGGCACCCACATTAGGAACTCCAGACTGCTCATTTCAATTTTTAAAGCAGTTCAGGAAGTCAAGATGTCTCCAGTGCAAACTCATTTACATTCGTATTGTACTCAAAGTTAATTCACTTGTGATGAGAAAGGGGCTTTTGTAGATTTCATTAATTTCTCTTCAAAGAAATTGTTAATCAAGGGGTAAAATAAAGGGTTGATTAACTTCACACTGCCCCTAGGTCTTGAAACTGTTAAAATCATACCTACTACTTTTAAAACAAAAATACAATGAATAGCCAAAATTTTAAATACTTAATAGACACTTCTGACACTCAGTAAAGAACCCTACTCATTAAGATCCAACCAGTTCATCCTCTCCTCTTATAAATGCTGGGCTGATGAACTTCTAATCTGAAATGATTTTAATTTAAAAGGCTTTATACAGTGTGAGCTAAATGTACATAAAATAAATGACATTATCCTCAAATATACTAAGAAAAATCATTCACTTTTTGGGGTCTTCATATTTTTCAAATAAGAAAGGTTTCAGCTGAACATCATAAAACATCTTAAAAGAAAACGTTATTTAATCAGTCTTTCATAAATGGCAAAATAGGTTGTTAAATGACTCCCTCAAAGAAGCTAAACTTTTTCGTCCTTTAGTTGTTTGCAATACAGTTAGCTATGCAGTAAAGATCGTTAAAGCTAAAACAATACTAGTTAAAAGACATGTACTATTGTTTGCCTTTTCCTCTTATTCTTTGAAAATCTTGAGCTTAAAGGTCATTTATCTTTAAATGTTATTCAGAACAAGCTCCAAGTCAAAGAAACAAATGGGTTTATTAAGTATTAGCAGAAATGCTATATTTGGTTCAGTGGGAAGTTTAAATGATATATTTGCAAGCTGAATTATTTGACTAACTGCTTATAATTTCCTTTCTCATATGTTTACTTCTCACTGCTAAACTTTAAAGCCACTTTTATGGAAGATGCTAGTTTGGGTGGAAACAGATTAGGTTTACTCACGGTTTCCTTTTTTACGTTTCCATCTCTCAGCTCCATTTCCATCTTATGTTTGTTTTCTATCAAATTAGCTAATAAATCAAGCCAGTTTAGTTCTTGAGGTAAATGATTCAATTAAAAAGGTTTATTTATGAGTAAACTTAAAATTCAGATATTTTGCAGTAAGCAAAGTTTGTGTTTGTTAAACAGAAATAAATGAAGGCGTCTATATGAAATCCTTGTAGTGAATTTCAATCTCAGCAAGCTCTTAAGTATTGCTGCTGTTCAGCCATTCCTGCTTTTGAAGGCACTGCCCCCCCATCCCAATAGCCAGTAGCACCTGGAGGCCTACCTCTACCTCAGCACAGACATCGCAGTAATTAGGATGCAGGATTCAAGCACCAGACAGGGCTGTAGTGTTGAGCTGGAATAGTCCCTTTGTTGACTTTGGTAAAATGGGGAAAGGGAGTGGGTATTATACTCATGTATCTCCAGGGTTCCTTCTAGCTTGGGACAGTATAAGCCTAGTCATTTTTGCCTCTGACTAGAGTGTGCTGCTGAATTTTG